GAAGAAGAGCGCAGCCTCCAGCAGGAGCGAGAGGAAGAAAAGCGGCGGCTCCGGGAGCAGGACGACAAGTTCCGCCAAGAAGAAGAACAGCTGCGGCGCGTGGAGCAAGAAGAGCAGAGGCGCCGGCAAGAGCGAGACAGGCAGTACCGGGCTGAGGAGCAGTTTGCCAGCGATAAAAGGCGTCGCCAGGAACAGGAACTTCGGCAAGAAGTGCAGAAACGCAGTCTGGAGAGAGAGAGGAAATTCCGGGAGGAAGACCAGAGTAAGCGTCAGTTCGTCAGTCCCCCGGTGCGCTCCAGCCCTCTCTATGAGTACATCCAAGAGCAGAGATCTCAATACCGCCCTTAAGAGATGCTGTCAATATCCTGAGACCGGCCAAAACTTGGAGCAAAGGAAAATGAGAAACACTGGGTACCAAATGATGACTTCAAATTTCCAGGTTGTGGGGAAACTGTTAGAATGTTGTCTTTCCTTCCAAAATCTTAAACTATACTAATTTCATTACTCTTGCCTTTTTTCTTTCTTTAGTAGTTCTTTATTGCAAGAGCTTTCTCTTTGGTGCAAATGTGGTATGCATTTTTAAAAACATAGATCATTTAATTTGTTTAAATTTTGTTTGAGGAACATGTTGATTTACTTTCAAAAGTAACAAAAATGATATTTGAGTTTTGAAAGAACTGAGATCTTTTTCATGGATGACCCATCTTATGAAGAATTCAGATTTCAGAATTATATTTTTAATGTTCAAATTGATATTTTTTGGGGGGGGGACAAAATCACATTAATCTTTACCTCCAATTAGTCTTTCATCTATTGTGGCATAATTAGTACAGATTCTGTAACATGACTGAATTTTTACCACCACCCTTGAATGGTGCTGAAGTGACTTCTGCAGAAAAACTCCTGTAAAATCAGTCCATAACCAGAATAAATGTCTATTAAGATTAAAGTTCATCTTAAAGACTTAGAATTCATTTTTTAAAAAATCTTCAACTCCATGAGTATTTAAAATCTCATAAAACAAAACCAATGTGTTTCTCAAACAACTCTAGAACTCAAATTTTAAAACCATGTCTGCTGTAGTCTATAGTGCCCAGTTCTCTTCCCCCAATCATTGATGGGTTTTAGAACATTACTACCTTTGTTAATTTTAGCTGAGAGGGAACCTGCTCAGGATCCTGTAAACATTTGTCTTCTTCTAGGGCCACTAAGAGATCACAGACAATGTACTTGGTAAGGGGAAGGGAAAAATGTGTGAACAGAAGGGCAAGTTGCTAGAGGCCCTTTGACAAGACCCATCAGCCCATATGCTTTAAGGCCTATTGACACTACTTTAGAGACACTCTTGTTGAAAACATTGGACTGTGTGAAAAATTAATAATAAATGATTGGCAAACAATTTTTTCTCTCTTTTATTAACTATGCATCAAATCATAACTCAAGATCTAATGGTCCGGAAACTGACATAAGTTCCCATTCACTTGTGAGTATTTTGTTACCATTATCTATGTTCAAACATGAAAAAGACAAAATCTCCTTTATTTTCTCCAACCATTTTTCCCAGTTAGGGTGAACCCTGTATTGCTTGCATCCCCAAACTGGGATTCTCTTTCCAGGTGTTTTCACTCTTGACCCCAGAGCTTTCTGTGTCCTTTCTTGCAGCGACATACAAACGATGGCACTCCCAATGTTTGTTAATATTTCCTTCTGAGAATGCAGCAGCTTCTTGGTCTCCTACGTCTAATGAACCATCAGTAGAAAATGGTCTGAAACTTCAGTTCAGCGTTATAGAAATTGCAGATGACCTGTTGATTAACCCATGAGGTGTCTGAGTCAGAATGTGTTTATTTTTCTCCTAAAGGAGGTTTGCTTTTCCTTACTTAAGGACATTCACAAAAACTCTGGATAAGTCTCACTGGCTTTCTCCAGGATCCTTTTCATGGGCACTAGGTTCAGAGCATCCTTATAAATGCCAGCCCCAGGATACTCCTGAAATACACATTCACCAGCCAAGCTACAGTTTGATGATAATA